CACAGCTATACAGGGCTTTACACAGCTATATAGGGCTATACACAGCTATACAGGGCTAAACACAGCTATACACAACTATACTCAACTATACACAGCTATACAAGGTTATACACAGCTATACAGTGCTATACACAGCTATACACGGCCATACACAGCTATACATGACTATACACAGCTATACACAGCTATACACATTGTTCGCGAATAGTTCAAGTTTGCTATGGTTAGATTTTGAACCTCCGTTTTTCTTTTCCACCATACCGGATTTACCTCGATGTAAAAAAGTGATATATAAAAATTGTACTTTGTTTCACTAGCTATTATTAAAGTGAAGTTATTACTTCAAGTTTTTGTTACTTTGTTACGTCTCGTCAGTTTCACATGTTTTTACAGAACTATTTGTGACTCTGTTTAGATAGAATTCCGTGGCTTCACCGAGGGCACGAAAAAAACGTTCAGGGGTAGCTACTTTCATATCTAGGACCTTTAGCCTTAGGTTGCTCAAAATTGTTCAGTAACCATTTAACGGTGATTTTTCATTGATAGAACGCGACTTTGAGATGATCGTTAATTAACTTGCTTCTTTTCTTACTGGTGACGTCACGAGATTCTATTCTCATCATGGTCCCCTAGTACCAATGTTTTTAAGACGCTCTCGGGAAAACATACATGTTCAGTAGGATTATTTCATCTTCTCTAACTACTATGTTATTCCCAAAAATCTTTTAATTACAGAGCTCGGATTTTGTCTTTCAGAAAACTGTTCCGTTCTTATTTCATGTATACCAGGACAACTCAACCCACTGAATACCGTATAACCGGAATCAGGGAATGCTTGGTAGGACGCGAATGCCGGATTATAAAAATAAGAGAATCGTGGCTGCCAGATTCCGGGTTACCTTAACAGGGGCGACATGTTTTGGTTTAATGCCAGATATGAAAATATCATGAAAAATGTGTCTACCTCTCCAATGCACGAAATATTTAAGACTGGACATTTTACCCATTCCTAAGTCTGGGCTTTTCCTTCAGAACAGATGAACAGGCCGTTGTTCGCGCTCCAGTAATTATCTTGGGTCTACATCATCGAAATGATTATCAAAAAAGTCACAACACACTTTTTATCAATCATCTTCATTTAATTTAGAAATGACCATAGCTCATAAGACAACTTGAACAACCAAAATGTCTACGCCTTCGGTTTCTTAGTATGTTTCGCCGTTTACCCTCCATCCTAGCACGGGTTCACTGCAAGTTAAAAAGAATGACAGGGCAGCTGTTAGAAATACATGAGCGTCATCGTTTAGGGTAATTTCATATACATGCTAAAAAAACTTGGAGTTAATGCATTCATTGATCCATTCACGGAGAACTTTATCTGTACGACGTACCAAAGCTTGAAAATTCTCATTCAAAGGACCTTCAGAAGGGAGACTGGTAAGGCTCCGGTAAAACAAGAGCTCCTATCTTCTATTTCTTAGAGATTTATCTCTATAAAATATCTAAAGGAGTCATTAATCAGTACGATCTCTGATGGGAAAGGGTTTGATGTCAGTTAAAGAACTTTCACTTCCACACATCATTTGGATAGTCACTTTTCATTAATTATGCCTAAGAGGGGGCCGGCATTTAAAATGAAATATGATCATAGGAATTTCCTTTGAAGCTTCTCTGATTTTAAATCATATTTCATCCCAAGTTATGTTACCAGAAACACATTTTAGGTTTTCCAATAGGTTTATAGTTTCACTGTTCATCTAAACACCATACACAATAAAAAAAAAAGAATTCTAAGCGCTATGCACTATCCACGAGTGAACCAAGACTGAGCAATCTTCAGATGAAACTGGGGTGTGAGAAGAGTCCAGCTTTTGTACAGCACACGAAGCGGAGATAAGGGGAGGTTTTTTGTAAAAATGCAAAGTTGAGGATATGTTTTTCTCTTTTCCTTTTTTCAAATAAGCACCCTCTTAACCATGATGAACTACGACTCTCCTGTTAACTTTACAGAATGTTTGAGCTGTTAAAGGTCTTACCTTGTAAGTGACCTCTTTTCTTGGTCTTCTCTTTGGTATTACTTCCCGTGGAGTGAGGGAATCTTTTACTGCTGTAGTATAAACTAATGAATTTTAACTTGTCGGAACCTGGTTGAAAACCATTCAGTAGTAATTCTTGACCTGGTCTCATCGTTTCAGAAGTTTCAAGTGAGAAAGATGTTGACGAACAAGCAACGAAAACAAGTTGCACTTGTGGAAAAAACAAGAGAAATACGTTAGATATATCCTGTGTTTCTTTAAAATGCCCTTGCTACAAAATGAATCGCTCCTGTAGCCGCCTGTGCAGATGTTATAATTGCACAAACACATGAAATTCCAATGAAGTGGTTATGATGAAAAAGAGTCCGAATAAACGCTGTCGGTGCGGAGCTAGGCGAAAGAGCAAAGGGGCCGGAGAAACAAGTGTAATTAACAAGTCGTGTTGAGACGGTCTCCACAAGTCGAAGTGTCCGTGTGTAGCGGGTGGCGTCGGATGCACCGAAGTCTGCAGATGCTTCGACTGTGGAAACGTTGTTCAAGCTCGAGCTGACCCGAGAAAAACCCCTAAAAGAAAGAGGCGCAATAGGGCGACGGTCTCACTATATAAAAGGAAAAAGGGGTCCAAGTTCATGAAAGGTCAAAACGCGGTGGATTGTGGACCTTGGAGGAACATTGAAACCCTTTGTTTGATTGTTTGCCGGGACGTGCTGCAAAGTCACGGACTTTCCCTAAATTCTNTTAATGACAGTTCTACAATCTCTCATTGATGGCATTCTGTCCTTTACTTTTTGTAAAAATGTCTTATTAAAAAAATAAACACTTGAAAAAGGATATTTGTGTGTATATAAACATATAATGACTCGCAAGAACAGGTTACCTGCGGCAGGAAGACAGAAGAAGACAGTCTGCATTTGTTCCAGATGCTATCGTTTGAATTGGCAACTAACAGGCGCATAACCGTTCTTTCTTTAGCTTTTTTGTGCAGCAGGTTCTCTACGATCGCTTGAGCATTTAACTGATATAAACGCTCTATTTCAGAATGAGAATGAAATACTAACTACTAAACAATAACCCTAACCCCTAAAGCCCTAACCCTAACACTAAACCCTAACCCCAACCCCAACCCCTAAACCCTAACTATACCCCTAAACCCTAACCCCAACCCCTTAACCCTAACCCCTAAATCCTAACCCTAACCCCTAACGCTAACGCTAAACCCAGGCGTTAATGGGTTAGAGGAAGTTTACAAATTTAGCCAAGACGGATTTTTTGCAAATGAATTTGGTAATTTGTGCGTGAAAGCAACAGCTAAACTCTTGAAAATTCCAATTGTGATTATTACCGCTCTCCCTTGAACGCCAAAGATGTCATTCCTTGTACACTAATTCCCAACAATCACTTCCATTTACATTGCATATGATCATTCTGGGCCCAGCCACTGTGATACCACAAAAGGTACTCAATAATTGTTCAATAACCCCAGGTTAAGTTAGCAATAGTAAATTTTTTATCATGTTACATACCTCCTTACATATCGAAGTTGGACTAAGAGTTGATTTCGGTTCTTTTGTATCTTGCTATTATATAACAAAAAGTTCACGCTGTGCACCACTGGTTAAAAATGAAATGGTTTTTTTCGGACTTTGCATAGCTGTGTATAGCCGTGAACAGCTGTGTATTGCCCTATATAGCTGTGTTTAGCCCTGTATAGCTGTTTATAGCCCTGTATAGCTGTGTATAGCCCTGTATAGCTTTGTATAGCCCTGTATAGCTGTGTATAGCCGCGTATAGCGCTGTAGAGCTGTGTATAGCTGTGTTTGCATAGCTGTGTATAGCCGTGAACAGCTGTGTATTGCCCTAAATAGCTGTGTTTAGCCCTGTATAGCTGTTTATAGCCCTGCATAGCTGTTTATAGCCCTGTATAGCTTTGTATAGCCCTGTATAGCTGTGTATAGCCGCGTATAGCGCTGTAGAGCTGTGTATAGCTGTGTATAGCCCTGTATAGCCGTATATAGCCATATATAGCCATGTAGAGCTGTATATAGCCCTGTATAGCTGTGTACAGCAATATATAACTGTATATAGCTCTGTATTGGTGTATATGTCTGTCGTATGTAAGGTTAGGATATTATATGTATGTAAAGTTTAGGACATTATATGTATTGGGGACATAATAATTCCCCATACATGACGTGCCTACGCAAAAGTTGTTACCGCCAGTTCAGGCAATGTAAACAGCTCTAAAACACAACTTATTAAAAACTGTTAAAATTGATTGTCATCAAGATTAGTGGTTCAACAAAACCGTGGCAAAGTAATTGTTTTTCGTCGACGGTATGTCTACTTTGCTACATAAACCGATGGAAAACAACTTGGTAGTTTATAATTGGCCCTCAATCATAACGACAGGCACTTTAAAGAACGTGATCTTTACTCTTATCGACAACGATATTCATCATCCCGGTTGTCAAAATGTTGTGCGCTGAGTAAGTCCTTAACTAAATTTGTCCACTGGGATGACAAATTTCATTGTCGATCATGCCGAGTAAAGACTATGCTAGATCACTGTCGATTTGTTTTTTGCCACAATTTTGACGTCCAATAAATCGAGTGATCCGTTGACCCAAGCAGCGTTGTCTGTCGTCTGTACTCTTATCGAGAACGGCAGATTAGCCAATCAGATTGTGGCGTTGC